AAAATGCTAGAATAAAGTGGTTAAATTATAAAATCCAGTTAATAATTTGTATGAGACCTCATAATGAGCTGTAGTATACTTCAAAGTGTTTGATTCAAGAATTAAAAATTAATATTTTAAGGAAAACCTATGAGCATGTAATTTAGCAATATGTCATTTATTTGTCAACACATAAAAACAAACAGGATAAAGATAAAAAATTCTGATCTACTTTTGCTTCCCATTTTCCTAAATATCCACTTTCTATTCATCCAAGAGATACAAATAAAAACAAGATGTACCATGTACACAAGCTCAAATAGTATTAATATTTAGTCTAATTATGAAGGCAAAACAGATATATGTATCCTTCACTAAGGGCACATTCTCCAAAAATATACTGAAATCAAAGAATCTAGACACAAAAGAAAATATCTACTTGATTCAGTTTATGTGAAATGGTAAAACACATTTAAAAAAAAATCTTTGGTTGATTTTTGTTAGAGTGTATCAGTTATTATTAAGGGCTCGGCATCCATGGAAGAAACAGTCTGCAAAGGGATAAAAGGAATTTTAGGGGTGATGTAAATTGTCTACCTCAGTTGTGTACACATTGGTCAAAATACATTGCTTGAAATTAAAAGTGGTTATATTTTATTGAAGGTAAATTATATATTAATAAAATGAAATTTCTAAAACCTCTCCATGGTGTTATTATTATCCCAAATAAGAGTAAGTTAAGTTACAACAACAATAACAAATCCAGTAACTTGCCCAAAGGGCACATAGCAAACTTTAGAAAGAATACTAAATTTGTTTGTACTGGAAAATCTATTATAGTATAGTGTGTCCATGGGGAGCAGTAGATGGTGAAGAAGTGAATTCATTCTGTTTATAAGTTTTATAAGTTATGTGGAAGTAACAAAAATAACATAGGAGAGAATGTTTATATGGGCTATGCTAACGTGTGTAATAGGAGGTGGTAAAATATGCATTATAAGTGTAATTTGATACATTAAAATGTATACTTACTCCTTAGATCAACTTAAAAAATTATCAAAAGCGATGTAGTTGAAAATTGTGATGATAAAGAAATAAAATGAAATATTAATAACTACATTGACTTAACTCAAAGATGTCAGGAATAGTGAACAGAGGAAAGAACAGAGGAACAAAGGCAAATTCAAATAGATACTAATAATTACTAGATACAGCATTTTTGGATTTATACCAATGTAGCAATATTTTCAATATAGCAATAATTACATTAAACATAAATAGACTAAATCCATTTATGAAAAATCAGAAATTTCCAGACCATTCAAAATTAATAATCAACAGTATGGTCTCTATAGAAATTGTACTTTAAAAGCACAGATAGATTGAAATGAACATGATAAAAAGTAAGGTAACATGCAAGAGGTGAGCCTAAGAAAGCTGATAGAGCTATGTGAGTATAAAAAAACATAAACTTCATGATAAGAAGCACTACCAGAAATGAAGAGAAATGTTTCATAATGGAAAAGGCCTATTCAAAACACAGACATAGAAATCTTAAACATGTATGCATTTACTGAAAGACCTTCAAATATGTTGAAATACAAACTTGAGAAGAAAGCAGACATAATGTTAGACATTTTAACATCACTGGTAAATGTTAATGTAAATAAATCATAAAGTACCAAGACATATAATATCTGAAGTACTATTATTGAATTTTACTTAATCACAATTATCTAACATGGTTTCTACAACTTCAGAATGCATATTTCTTTTAGTATAGAAGAAATTTGAACAAACATACACCATATTCTAATATATACAGCAAATGCTCAATGAATTTATCTCATTAAAATGTAAGGGATGTGCTCTTAGAAGATAATATAATTAATTAGAAACAAAATAAAATGAAATGTTTTATATTTTCAAATAAAATATATATTTAAAATCCTCAAGTATAGGTTAATTAAATAACACTCTCCCAATAACCCGTATGTTAAAAATAAGTCATCAAAAAAATCCAAAATACATTGCAAACTAAATAATATAAGTTTTATAAAAATTAAAGCAATGTGTGAAGAAAATGTATTTATATGAAACAAGAAGAAAGTCTCAAAGAAAAATCCAAACTTTCATTTTAAATATCCATTAAAAAGTTAAAATTAAACATCATAAAAATAAGGAAGCAACTGCAACAAATTAAGGAAATAGAAAAAATAAGCAATTAAAAAATTAAAATTGGTTATTTTAAAAGTTTAATTAAATCAATAATCCTACTATCTAATCAATAAAAGTACAAAAGCCCCAATTGTTCATCTCAAGACTAGAAAATACTTGAAAAGATAGGTAATAGGGATATCACGGTCTCATGAAATAAATTTGAAATGCTTCTCCTTTCTCCATTTTTCTTAAAAAGTTTAAGTAAAATGGTGTTATTTCTTAAACATGTGTTAGAATTTACAAGGAGAATTATTGAGGTTGAGAGTTCCCTGTGTGGAAAGTTTGTTATTGTGAATACAATTTTTAAAATAGATATGCAGCTATTCAGATGTTCTGCTATTGTCTGGTTTGGTATTGTGTGTCTTTTAAGGAATTTGCCCATTTCACTTATGCTAAAAATTTACTAATATAAAATTTCACATAATATTCCCTTATTATCCTATGTCTACTATCTTTTTAAATATCATCTACTCTTGAAATGAACAAAAACAACAAATGTAGAGATCTTGCTAATATAGCATTTAACGTGTAACTTAAATATATTCATACATATACATTGTATGCCTTTTGTTTTCTAATGGTGCCATGGTAGAGTTTGTCTTCCAAGTAACAAATTTAGGAAATATTCAGCATTCTGAGGCAATTAAAGAGAATTTTGGAGAACTTTATTTGTCTCCTAAATCATTGATTATTTCACAAAGCCTGAGGAAAAATATTTTGTTTTGCTGGGGTTTATGAAGGTGCAATTTATGTTCTCCTCCTAGATCAAATTCTTGCCTTCATGGCACATATAAAGAGGCTATATTGGGTCTATGCTCAGGAAGGACAAATTTAATATTGCTTACCTAACCATAATTAGGAATAGAAAACAAGGTCAAAAGAAGGTAAATACTCTTATCCAGTATGTTTCATTGCTTACTCAGTTTCTGCATTTCTTCCTTAAACTTAAATTCTTACTCTCAGATCAACCTGTATAAAAGTAAGTAAAAGAGAAAGTGGTCACCCTAGACTAGAGTTCAGAGGAAGTGGTCACCCTAGACTAGAGTTCAGAGGAAAGTGGTCACTCTGAACGAGATGTCAGAGGAAAGTGGTCACCATAGACTAGAGGTAAGAGGAAAGTGGTCACCCTGGACTAGAGGTCAGAGGAAAGTGTTTACCCTGGACTAGAGGTCAGAGGAAAGTGGTCACCCTGGGCTAAAGGTCAGAGGAAAGAGGTCACCCTGGACTAGAGATCAGAGGAAAGTGGTTACTCTGGACTAGAGGTCAGAGGAAAGTGGTCACATGGCCTAGAGGTCAGAGGAAAGTGGTCACCCTGAACTAGAAGTAGGAGGAAAGTGGTCACCCTAGACTAGAGGTCAGAGGACAGTGATTACCCTGGACTAGAGGTCACAGGAAAATGGTCACTTGGACTAAAAGTCAGAGGAAAGTGGTCACCTTAGACTAGAGTTCAGAGGAAAGTGGTCACCCTAGACTAGAGATCAGAGGAAAGAGGTCACATGGACTAGAGGTCAGAGGATAGTGGTCACCCTGGACTAGAGGGTCAGAGGAAAGTGGTTATCCTAGACTAGAGATAGGAGAAAAGTGATTACTCTGGACTAAAGGTCAGAGAAAAGTGGTCACCCTAGACTAGAGTTCTGAGGAAAGCAGTCACCCTGGACTAGAGATCACAGGAAAGGGGTCACTTGGACTAGAGGTCAGAGGAAAGTGGTCACCCTGGTATAAAGGTCAGAGGAAAGTGGTTTCCCTGGACAACATGGCCAAAGGAAAGTGGTCACCCCGGACTAGAGGGTTGGAAGAAATTGGTCACCCTAGATGAGCGGGCTGATGGAAGAGATGGGTTTGTGTAGCTGAGAGGGCTGGATGCATACACTCCAGTCTATGGAAAGCATGATCACTGCCACCTCTTCACTACATAAGTGCATTTGTAAATAGAGGAAACTACTACTATGAACTGCAAAGTTTCTAGTTTAACTTAGTCAGGAGAAGAGTACAGAAGGATGTTTCTTAAAGACTCCTCTATCAAAAGGAGGAGATAAGAATAAGAATAGAAATAAATCCAAGAAACTGAAGCTTGCAACACAACTATAAAGAATATTAAATCTCACTTTCTCCAATATATTTTTTAATTTAAAAATATTAGGAGGGTAACATCATTCTACACAGATGTAGAGAAAATAATTTTATGTTTCATTTAGACCCAGAAAAGAGCCTGAATAGCTAAAGCAATCTTAAGCAAATAGAACAAATCTAGAGGCATCACATTATTAGACTTTAAACTATACTACAGGGTGATAGTAACCAAAACAGTGTGGTATTAGTACAAAATAGACATGTGACATCATATGGCAATGGAACAAAACAATGAACTCAGATATAAAACCATCTACCTACAACAACTGATCTTTAAAAAGGCAAACTACAACATTACTAGGGAAAAGGAAGCTCTCCTGGGATGACTAGATCTTTAAGATTATATTTTGCCAAAAATTTAGAATTATGGGCTGGCCCAGTGGCTCACTCTTGTAATCCTAGCACTCTGGGAAGCCAAGGCATGAAGATCATTTCTGCTCAAGAGCTCAAGACCACCTCGAAAAAAAAAGTGAGACCTCATCTCTACTAATAAAGGAGACATTAACCTGGCACTGTGGCAGGCAGCTGTAGTCCCAGCCACTTGGAAGGCTGAGGTAGGGGGATATCTTGAACTCAGGAGTTTGAAGTTGCCATTAGCTAGGCTGATACTATGGCACACTAACCTCCGGCAGCAAAGTGAGACCCTGTCTAAATAAATAAATAAATTATAGTTATGCTTTATTGGAAAGTGAAGGTGATGTCACAGTAGTGATTATATTTCGTCTTAACACATTCTTGAAAGCCTGCTTAACATCTCTGTTCCGCAGACTGTAGATGAGTGGATTAAGCACTGGACTGACAAAGGTATAGAAGACAGATATTATTTTGGATTCCTCCACGGTCTTATCTGTTGGTGGTCTTACATACATGCAGAAGAGTGTCCCATAGAACAGGGTGACAGCCAACATGTGGGAACCACAGGTGGAGAAGGCCTT